GTGATAAAGGAGAGAAATAATAAGAAGCTCATCAGAAATTTGATGTCCTTAGATGGAAGGATGCTTTATGAACCCCAAGAGATTCATAATGAATTTGTCTCATTTTATAAGAGCTTAATGGGCACAACAGCAGCTAGACTACCAGCTATAAACACTAAGGTGATGAAAAGAGGACCAGTTCTATCAAGACAACACAGAATCCAGCTTTGTGCAACAATAACTGATCAAGAGATAGTAGAAGCTTTGAAGTCCATAGGGAATGATAAGGCTCCAGGTATTGATGGATATAATGCCTTTTTCTTTAAACATACATGGAAGATCATTGAGCATGATGTTATAGATGCTGTTAAAAGTTTCTTCAACACAGGAGACCTCTTTAAACCATTTAATTGCACACTTGTATCACTGATTCCTAAGGTTCACAGCCCAAAGAATGTGAAAGAGTTCAGACCTATTGCTTGCTGCACTGTATTGTATAAGATCATCTCAAAGGTGATTACTCAAATATTGCATAAAGTCATCCATACTATTATCAGTGATAACCAAGCAGGCTTCATCCCAGGGAGAAAAATTGGAGATAACATTATCTTAGCTCATGAACTGGTTAAGGCTTACACAAGGAAGAATGTTTCTCCTAGGAGTATGCTAAAAATTTATTTACAAAAAGCTTATGATTCTGTAGAATGGCCATTCCTCGAACAAGTTATGGAGGGATTGGGTTTTCCTGACTTATTCACTCAATGGGTAATGAAGTGTGTTAAAACAGTGAACTACACTATTGTTGTTAATGGTCAGAATACTCAAAGATTTGATGCAGTTAAAGGACTTAGACAAGGGGATCCAATGTCACCTTTTCTATTTACTATAGCAATGGAGTATCTCAGCAGGTTGCTTAAAGGTCTCAAAGAAGACAAGAGCTTCAAATATCATCCCAAATGTGCAAAGTTAGATGTGACTCACTTGTGCTTTGCAGATGATTTGCTGCTGTTTTCAAGAGGGGACATAAATTCTATAAAGGCTCTTCAGAAGTGTTTCACTGAGTTCTCTCAAGCTTCAGGGTTGCAAGCTAATCTTAAAAAGAGCTCCATCTATTGTGGTGGAGTACAGATGGATGTGAGACAGCAAATTGCCCAACAACTTGGATACACAATAGAAGAGCTGCCTTTTAAATACTTGGGGGTACAATTGTCATCAAAGAAGTTGAATACAATCCAATGGTATCCACTTATAGAGAAAGTCATGGCAAGAATAAACTCTTGGAAAGCAAAAAAGTTGTCTTATGCAGGAAGAGCTCAACTAGTCAAAACTGTTCTACTTGGAGTACAAGCATACTGGGCACAACTGTTTATTATACCTGCAAAGATTATCAAGTTGATAGAGGGATTGTGCAGAAGTTACTTATGGTCAGGTGTGGGACATGTAACAAAGAAAGCTCTAATAGCTTGGGACAAAGTGTGCAGTCCTAAGTATGAAGGAGGTTTAGGACTGATCAATCTGAAAATGTGGAACAGGTCAGCAATAGCTAAACTATGCTGGGATCTAGCAAACAAAGAAGATAAGCTGTGGATAAAGTGGATTCATGCATATTATATAAAAGGACAGAGGGAATGGAAGAAGAGTAACAATGCAAGCTGGACGGTTCAGAAAATAATGAGTGCAAAGGTAACAGTTGATCAACTTCAGCAAGAACGAAGTAAAGGAAAAGGTATCCTACGACAAGTTTACCATCACATGATAGGAAGACAACAAAAGCCAGCATGGACATGCCTCATGTATAGTAATGCAGCAAGACCAAAGGCCTATATCATAATGTGGCTGATGATGAACCAAAAGTTATCAACTGTGGATAGATTAGTTAGATAGGGACTTGAAGTAGATAAAACATGTGTGTTATGTAAGAAGGCAGATGAAACTACTGAGCACCTGTTTCCACAATGTCAGTTTGCAAGGATGTTATGGGAGAGTTTAATGAGAATGTTAAAGCATCGAGGCTCTATACCAATGGCCTGGGACCAGTTTCAACATTGGTGTGTCCAACATGGGAAGGGGAAGAGATCTGCAGCTCAAATGTTCAAAACAGTGATTACAGAAGGCATATATGGATTATGGATAGAGAGGAACAATAGAATTTTTGAGAAAAAAAGTAGTAAGGAGGAGAGTATAGCAAAAGAGATTGCTTGTGTTACTATAGCTAGAATTTCTACTATTGTTTCAAAGATGTATTTCAATTGAAAACTTTAGCTAATAGTATAGGGATAGTGTAGTATTTTTTTTATAAGATGTTTGATGTTACTGTGATAGTAGCATGATTTGTAATGCAGATTCTGGTAATTAATAAAAGTTTAGTTACCAAAAAAAATAAATAATAATAATAACAATAATAATAATAATAATAATAATAATAATAATAATAAAAATATTAATAATAATAATAATAATGATAATAATAATAATAATGATAATAATAATAATAATAATAATAATGATAATAATAATAATGATAATAATAATAATGATAATAATAATGATAATAATAATAATGATAATGATAATAATAATAATAATAATAATGATGATAATAATAATAATAATAATAATAATAATAATAATAATAGTAATTATAATAACAATAATAATAATAATAATAGTAGTAATAATAATAATAATAATAATACTAATAATAATAACAATAATAATAACAATAACAATAACAATAACAATAACAATAACAATAACAATAACAATAACAATAACAATAATAATAATAATAATAATAATAATAATAATTATAATAATAATAATAATAATAATAATAATTATAATAATAATGATAATAATAATAATAATAATAATAACAACAACAACAACAACAACAACAACAATAATATTCATAATAACAATAACAATAATAATAATAATAATAATAATAATAACAACAATAATAATAATAATAATAATAATAATAATCGCTTAATAAGTAATTTCTATTGATACAAAGTGAAATTTGATACACTTATTTGAGATTAGCTAAATTTGAATCAAGATGAAGAAACGAAAAAAGAAGAAAGCTAAAGCACTAGAAGTCAAGACCCACAATGTACGAAAAGAAGAAGAAGAAAATGAAGAGAGCGAGAAAGAAAGGCAAGCAAGCAAGCAAAGACGAGAGCAAAAGAAGAGGAGGAGGACGAGGAATACGACGACCGGAGGCGGGGCAAAAATCTTTTATTTTCCTTTTTTGCTCGATGGTGGCTTTTCTCTCCCACCAAAATTGGTTAAATTAGGTTTGGTTTAGTCAATTTACCCTTTTACCCTTCATTTAACCACCAAAATTGATTGAATTAGATTTTAGTTAATTTATCCTTTTACCCCTCATTTAATTCATTGGAACAAACTGTCAACTTATAAACTTGGGTGCAACTCCACAATCCTTAATCATTAATCACATAATCGTCCCATACAAACAATACTAAAGACTTCATAATCATTAGTCACATAATTGTCACGTACACTCAATACTTAAGACTTATGTCACCGCCCAATTATTTTGAGACTTTAATATCAGTTTTTAAAAAGATCATAATAATACTATGTTATAGTATTAAAAGTGAACTAAATATACAATACGTGTGTATTATAATTGTTTTAATAATATATTATGTTTGTTTGGTAAGAATTTGACTAATTATATTATAAATGTATTAAAATGTGTGATAAATGTATTATCGATCAATAAATTTTGTTTTTAAAACTTGTATTATATGTGAATGATAAATTGTTCTTTGTAATATGAATTAAAAGTGTATTTGTAACACTTTGAAAATCCAAGACGTGTCGTAAAGCCTAACATAGGTGTCATGAGGTCTAAGTACTATTTTAAGACCTATTTTAATGAATATAAGTCATTTAGGAAGTATAAGAAACAAAACGTCCAAGAAAGTCCATGACGTCCTAAAGTTGGTTCAAAGAGGTACTAGCGTGCCTTAACCTATTTTACTAGCTTTTAGGAGTCAGAAATTTATGAAAAATAGTGAAAGGGTAGCTAATCGTTGTTTGAGTTGTTTCGTGGTTGAAACGTCCTGGTACGACTCCCCAAGGACCAATCAAGGGCCCTTGAGGAGGACCCTTGCAGTTAAAGGCAACACTGCCTAAGTAGTGTGCATCGACGCCACAGGCTACACTCTGTGTGTGGATCGACGGGGCGTCAATGCCACCGTCATCCCACACTTAGACAATGCGAGGAAGCCCCTCACCTGCACAGTCTCTTAACTTACCTACGAAGTGCAGGACGAGGTGGGAGGCCAGTCTGTCGACTCACAAATGGCCCGTCGTTCGGGGTCTCGGCTGTGAGGGTCGAGTTTCCTCCACAACTTAAGTTAGTTTCATTTAATTAGTTAGGGGGTTAGGTGATTAATTAGGGATTTAAGGGAGTCTAATTAAGTTGATTAAGCCCCAATATGAATACCCCCAACCCTCTTTAATCTAAACACAACTAACAAATAAACTCTCTTCCTTATCTCTTCTTTCTCTCTCTATTGGAAACCACCATTGAAGACAAGCTAGGAGAGGTTTTGGGGAATGGAAAGAGACGAATTCACCATCAAACTTTAAGGTATGATATCTAATTCACCTTTGACTCTTTCCTCAAAGGGTTCCTTCAAAATGGATTTTAAAAGGTGAGTTTTCATGTGGGTTTCATCCAATTACGAAATTGATGTTGTAAATTGAGTTTTTATGGCTTCTTTAGGATATAATGGATAGATTAAAATGTATTTGGACTTGATTATGATTAATTGTAATGTTTTGATTCAAATTGAATAATGTGATCTTTAAACCTTAACCCTAAGTTTGATCTTGATGCAAATTGGGTTGTGATTGATTAAATTGTCTTGCTTATGAGATATATCACTAGAAAATGATGTAGTTACATTAATCATTAAAAAATTGGAGTGAATTGTAGTCTATCATGCTAGTCTTGAGAAGATGATCTAGGTTAGAAGGTG